CCTCGTGTGATCCACAGGGACAGGAGAGGTAAAAATACATTTAACAGTTACAGTCGGACTCGTCTCTCTGCTCCTGGAGACGACTGCAGGCATCGCATTCGTTAAAGTCACATTTCTGGAAAAGTTGGCCTCATTTTGCACCCAAGTTAAATCTGCCATGTCGTAGAATGTAGTAAATAGTCACTTAATTTTAGTTATTTTTTTACTGTAATTTTACTCGATATTATATAAACAGGAAAGTCAGAAAAATGTCCACCATTTTCAAATTCCTTGTATACATATTTCTTTAAAATAGAAGCAAATATGTGAAATTATTCTTTTTTTTTTCTCAAAGGTTTAACTTAGTAATTTACTATTTCTAAAAAAAAAAAAAAAAAACTTGATGTGGACACCTTTTTTTGACAGTTTTATGGTTAACATGTAAATTGTGGTTTGTTTTCCCCCCTGTGATTTTTGCCAAAGGAAAAGTCTAAATATTTAGCATTTTTAAATTCTCCACATACATGCTGTTTTTATTTTTTTTATTATTATTATTTTTAAATGGCAGCAAATATCTGTAAAATGAATATTTTGCCAATTTAAAACTGAAAAACTATTTTAAATTTTCAAAAGAGTTTAACTTTTTAATTTCCCTTTTGTAAAAAAATGCCGATTTTTGATGAGGACATTTACAGGTTTAACCTTTTTTTAACAGTTAACTAATGATTGAACTGCGATTTTACAAGGTATTATAAGTTAACTGAACAGAACAGCTAGAAAATCACGTTTTCCTATGTGTCATATGCATATCTTCCTTAAAATTGCAGCAAATATCTGTAAAGTGACATTTTTGCAGACTTTTTTTTCAGTGTATTTTTGCTTTTTTTTTTATTGACTATTTGAGCTTCTTCTTGAACATTTTACAGTCATTTAACCCCGTCTCCAAGGCCAGCTGGTCACTCATTTTTCACTTAAGTTAACTCTGTTCTCTGTGAGGCTGAATAATCCGACATTACACAGACGTACTTGAAGG